CCCTTAATCAGAACCCCTTCTTCCTTCCACACGTGGGGCAGGACGCCCGTCTGGTGCCGCCACGCCTTCGTTACTGGCCAGGTCAGCGCCGCAGCGGCCGAGGTACTTGTGCTCCGCAGGCCATAGCTTTGGCAAGAACATGTATCGCGTGCTTACAGTTACCTCAGGACCGGTAGGACCTGCAATACATGAAGGCAATCAGCTAACCTGGCAGGTGCTGCAGTACTAATATAGCAATAAAGACCTGTGCTGATGTCACCAAATATTCATCGTTTTCCTGGATATAATGCAAAAACGCGCCACAAAGTGTAACGTGTGATTGCTCCATGGACTCTTCGCGTCGGTCCGATTCACGTTCAGGTGACACACTCGACGGGCCAGAGGCGCACTAGTCGCAGCACAGTGGGCTAGGCATCCTCAGGCAGTCTGCCGCAGCCGCACAGCCGCGTGTTACCCCGGGTCTCCGAGCTGCGCACCCCTGGGCCCCCGGCACGTGGCACCCTCCCTGCCCCCACGGACAGCGCTTTGCCCCGCTCAACCCCGCGCGTCCGCACCGGCCGCACTCGCCCTGCGCACACCCGGCTCCACCTGCCGCCTCCCCACCGCGCACGGGTCGCCCTCGCAGGCCAGATTCTCCCTCCTGCGCCCGGGACCCCGCAGCCCGCAGTCCGCAGCCCGCACCCCGCACAGGGACGCTCACCTGCCGCACGCGGGGCCCGGCGCCCCCGCCCCTCGCTCTTCCTCCTGCTCCACGCCTCCCACGGAGCTCGTGCCCTCCTCGATCCCGCGCGGGAGTCTCCGGTCCTCCCGGGCTCGCGCTTTAATCCTGGGAGGCGGCGTCCGAGTGCCCAGGGCAACACCCCCAGTGCAGGTCCCAGTCTCGGGCTGGGGGCGGGGCGGCCGGAGCGCGGGCAGATCCGGGAGGGGGCGGGGAGGGGGCGGGGAGGGGCCGGGAGGCGGTCCCGGGGGGAAGGACCGGGACGCGCTCCAGACCCGGCCCGGGGCGGGGCCCAGAGGGAACCTGGGGACGCTCCCGGGCCCGTCTCCCCGCCGGCACGTTAGGTAGGGCTGGGGAGGGGAGCGTCTCCCTCCCGGGTCCGTTGGACCTCGACGGTCGTGGGCGCTTCCAGCCCGAGGACTCGATTTGAACTAAGGAGGGGGATTCCCGGGAACGCCGCTCGGGACCCCTGGTAATCCCGGGAGCTGCTGCTTCGCGAGCTGCTGTCGACGCTGCCCCGAGCCCTGCCCCAGCCCTGCCCCAGCCCTGCCCCAGCCCTGCCCCAGCCCTGCCCCAGCCCTGCCCCCAGCCCTGCCTGGCTCCTGTGTCCTTGGCGAGGCCCTGGGACCGCTGACCCAGGCACGAGCGCCCGAGGACGTCCCAACACCCCCCCCCCCAGTCTTTCTGAGCCCCCCTTCTCTGTCTTGGGTCCCAAGTCCCTTCCCCCTCCTCGGGACGTCCCAGCAGGGGCGCCAGGAGTCCCCGCCCACCCAAGGCAGGGGACAAGGGCTGAGGAAAGGGAGTGAGATAAACTTTGGTCCAGCCGGCAGGCTTCCACCCCCACCACTCCCTCCTTAAGTGGCTCTCGCCAATGCTGTTTGCAACACACCCAGTGGATTGCTTAGGACCGTGGTCGGCAAACTGCGGCTCTTTGGCCCCTGGAGTGTGGCTCTCCCTAAACCTTAGGAGTACCCTAATTAAGTTAATAACAATGTACCTACCTATATAGTTTAAGTTTAAAAAATTTGGCTCTCCAAAGAAATTTTGATCGTCGTACTGTTGATAGTTGGCTCTGTTGACGAATGAGTTTGCCGACCACTGGTTTAGGATGAGGTAGAAGCCCAGAAAACCTCCTTCATTCCCGTCACCTGCTGCCTTGGCTCCCTCCTGGCAGGTCTCCTGGGAGCTGGACTTTCCTGGTAATTCTTCCACCCTCTCCTCTGGCCCTCGCCCCTAGATCCACCATAGGGGGCTGTGCTGCGCATGCCCCAGTCCTGCCCTCTCTCCTACTGCCCTGTGTCCAGGTTATTCCAAGGAGAAGACCCTCCAAGACCATCTTTAGCAAATAGGCCAGGGCTGTTCTCTCCTGGTGGCAAGTCACTCATTTGCTGTGAATGGTGTGCTTGGAGCCCAGGAGGAATGACACCGGTGTTCCCCAAACCCCCAAAGGCCACTACACACCCGGGAGTTGTGAGTCTCTACGTTCAGCCCTCCTGTGGTGCTTGTTCTCAACATTCATTCCCTGCTCTTTGGGCAACATTCTGGAATTTTTGTTGGGGTATGCGCACCTCCCGGGAGCAGACCACCAGCTTGGGGAGCCAACCCCACCCAGTGCAGGAGGTGGGCGTACGGTCACTTGGCTTAGCAGCTGAATCCTGTTCTCTGCCAGATCCCCCGCTTCAGAGATGAACACAGCCCGCTCTGGCCAGTGAGATGTGGAAGAGAGGGTTCCTGGGCTTGGGGGAGAAGGGGAACATATCCCACTCTTCTAAGGAAGTTTCCAGAACCCCCCTTCCTTGTGCTGGGTGGAAGGAGAAGCAAGTGGTCTCTGAATTGTTGGTTGCCATCTTTCCATCATGGGGAGCTGATTCCAGGTTAAAGATAGCTCCTCCATCAAAAACACAGCATAGAGGCTGGCAGGCATGGCTCAGTGGTTGAGCATTGACCTATGAACCAGAGGGTTCGATCCCCAGTGTGGGGCACACAGGAGGCAGGCAATCAGTGGTTCTCTCTCATCATTGATGTT